ACGCATCGGTTTTGTGATCCACATTAGCCGTCGCCTCGTCTAACACGAGGATCCGATTGCCGCGCAGTATAGCCCGCGCCAGACATATGAGCTGTCGCTGACCCGCAGACAGATTGCCGCCGCCTTCGGTCAACTGGTAGTCGAGTTGCGCCGGCATATCGAGCACCGCCTGCCGGAGCTGTACCTCTTCGAGCGCCGCCCACAGCCTGTCCTCCCGGTGCTCATCAAACGGGTCTAAGTTCTTGCGCAGAGAACCGATGAATGCGATCGGATCCTGAGGTATGATTGACATACGGCGGCGCAGATCGTGAAGGCCTACGGACTTGTAGTCTACGCCGTCGACGAGTATCTGGCCGTCGATGTCGTGCATACGGAACAGTGCGGCCAGTATTGATCTCTTGCCGGCACCCGTGCGGCCAGTATTGAGCTCTTGCCGGCACCCGTGCGGCCAGTATTGAGCTCTTGCCGGCACCCGTGCGGCCAACGATTCCCACTTTCTCTCCCCCTTTGAACACACAGTTGATGCCATGGAGTGTGGGTTTGGATTGATTTTCATAGGTTAGGCACACGTCGACCAGTTGTATGCGTCCGGTTTGCGGCCATTCGGGTGCCGGACGTACGCCGCTCTCCAACTCGGGCTCCGACTCGAGTCCACTGTATTCGACGATACGCTCGACGGATGTCATCTGATTCTCGAGTTCGGCCGACTGTCTGACCCCCCACTGAGTCATTCCAGTCAACCCCAGAGCCATCGTTAACGCCAGACCAGCGCTTCCGCTCTCCAGGTCTGTACCCGAAGACAGTGTCAGACATTCGTTGACATTAATTATGATTTGATTGATAACAAGCGATACCCTTATGGAAGACCATCAGAAAGAGCGCCACAAAGAAGACATACGACACACAAATCCAATCCATTGTCACACCTGTAAGGGAGAGCACCGGGTGTTAGCATTGGATCAGTTGTATTGGACACGACCTAAACATCTGGAGGCGGAGATACACATGAAGTAAGCGGACGTGTGATCGTTCTGATAGACATAGTATTGCTGTCGAAACACTTCCTGCGCTTTGAAGGCGCGGATTGTCGACAAACCACTCAAAGTGGTGGTCATGTGATTGTATAGCGGACTCCGGGCTATAGTATGCGTGAAAGTGAGTGACAGTAATAGTGGTAATAGAGATCTAATGCTTATATTCATTACCCATTCCTTCGTAGCGTTTGAAGTCTCGTCCGGTCTTTAGATAAACCCATCGAATGATCCAAATTAAGGCCAATAAGAAAATGGCGGGTATTATGAGATACGGGTTGACTAACGCCACCACTACTACCGATCCGATTATCTGAGTGAAGATCTGTTCCCACAAACAAATGGTAAGTCTTATTGACACGAATTTGTGGTTTACTGAAGACATTGTTTGCATTACTAGATTGAGATCATAGGAAACTGCGGGCAACTGTTCGTCGACAACACCGATGTCTTTAGTGAATCGATTCAGTATTCGGCCTGAAATGAGAGACACAGATATCAGACATAATCACCCTTTGGATCAAATGGTGACCACTATTTGCGATGGCGTTATTACCGACGGGATTGTTGTCGAAGAAGGCTATAGGCGTTCGCATGAGTCGGAAGAATATGCTGTTATGGAGATTGACTGACGCCTGGATACACATCACAAACCAAGTGCCCGACCGCACCAGTAGTGTCACAAATATGGTAGCGATTAGTATCGAGTATACCATCACGTTATGGCTCTCATCCCGATCGCCATCACCATAGTATTTTCCATAGGAAAGCACTAACTGCACAGTTTATGCATTAACTGCTGGGAGATTACAATCCCAGTTTATTTACAACGTTATTATTTAAGTTTAAGCTTTAAGGGTTAAAAGAGCAGAATATTATAACACGTGTAGATCAAGCGTCTATTATCCGATTTTAATGAACTCGGGTATTTTTGAACAAGAATAAACCTCTTTTTATTTCTAGTTACTCTGTATATAATTTCAATAATGCCCCGATTATTTTAATGACAATATTTAAACTGTTTCCTTATTATTAGATATCCTTTAACTCCCGGGCCATTAACTGTATTTCACTGTACATTGTACATGAATTGGGTGGAAACTGTACCCTCAAAAAAGAGATGAGCAAGGTGGTTAATTTGCAAATAAAATTCTGAAGTGGGTCNAGCTCATATGTCTGGCGCGGGCTATACTGCGCGGCAATCGGATCCTCGTGTTAGACGAGGCGACGGCTAATGTGGATCACAAAACCGATGCGTTGATACAGCGCTCCATTCGGCGCCACTTCGCCGACTGCACTGTACTGACGGTCGCCCACAGACTCCACACTGTCATCGACTCGGATCGGGTGCTCGTGTTGGACGCGGGCCGAGCCGTACAGTACGGGCCGCCGCACGAGCTCTTGAGGGACAGCGCGGGTGTCTTCCATAAACTGGTCACTCAAACGGGTCCACAAATGGCCGCTCAGTTGAGTCGCGCGGCCGAAGAGGCGTACGATAGGCGAAGAGGCGGACAATCGGACGCATTGGCTGATGAGTTGATCCCAATTCACATCGAGTAGTGGTTTGTGTCGGCGATTGTCGATGAGTTCCGGGCAGTGATTCTCATTCTTCCGCAGTTGTGGCCACTCTTTGCTGTGATTTCTATAATTGAAAAACAATTTGAATAAAAAAAAGTTATTTTTGGACACAATTTGTAATCATTTGTTGCATTCATTCAATACATCTCACCATTCAATCGATGCCAATACCGGTGAAGAGTCCTATGGATCAGTTGCTGGTGACAAATGCGTGACTAAAATGTGTGTAAACTGTTGATCACTGTATGAGGCCATGGATTGAATGGTTGATCCCATTGTCCATCACTTCATACCTCTTGAGGACATTTTGGACACAATTTGATCACAAAATGGCCGTCGAATGGAATGTATTGAGTGTTTGTAAGTAGAGGTCTCTAACGAACGTTGCATTCAATCATTGAATGTCAATGCAATTCAATGGCCCGCAAATCACTCACACCTCTACTCAACACAAACTATGATTGCGTCATAAGAGTTAAATGTCTGAAGTTTTCCCAAAGAGATATTCGTAAAGTCTGTTACAAAATAGTTGTCAAACTCTCCCTATATTTCCCTTTTGTCATACATTTGTCCATTATTTGGACTCAATATTATTAATTGATTCGCAAACAACGTAACAATGTGTTGGGGTTTATGTTTGCATATGTTTTGGTTGTTATTGTTTTGCAATAACATTGCATTTCACACATGCGTTAAGACATCACTTGAATTGAATCCACAAATCAATTGACGACAAATGGCATCAAAAATGCAAACAAACATCAAATCAATGGATGGCTTACCGGTTGTCAGCTCTTTGAAAGTCTTGAAGCCATTGGTCAACACTTGCGCCGCGAAGACATCGTTACGACTTTTGGCCATTTTTGGCGAACGCGGATCAGCTGTCATCTTCGCGACCACCGATGACGAGGTGTACGGCTATGGAGACAATCGTTTCGGATGTCTGGGCGTCGGAACCGATGACAAACAAATACCGGAACCGCGACTCAACCCGACTCTCAGTGGCAAACAAGTGGTGAACATTTACTACGGCTTCGGCCACTGTCTGGCGCTCACACCGAGTGGTCAGGTCTACGGCTGGGGCGAGAATGACTTCGGCCAACTCGGTGTCGGCACCTTTGACTCCACGCATACACCGCTTCTCATCGAGTCGTTGGCCACATGTGGTGGACATCGCGTGCGGCAATCGACACACTCTGGCCCTCACACGCGATGGTCAGGTCTACGGCTGGGGTCGCAACACGTTTGGCCAAATCGGTGACTACACCTTCAATTGGCGCGTAATTCCCGTTCGGCTCCCCATTCATGAAACACTGGTCTCAATCTTTTGCGGGAAATGCCATTCACTGGCCGTCTCAGAGTCGGGTCGAGTGTTTGTGTGGGGACTCAACGACTGGCCAATTGGGTCGCCATCGAGACCGAGATCTAAGACTCGGCAAAGAGCGACCATTTCTAATCGACCGGAACTGATCGCTGGCTTTGAGAAAACGGTGTTCAAGAAAGCCGTTTGCGGTCCCAATCATACGATGCGATTGTGTTGCCATTGAAGCCATATTTGTGGCCAAATTGACCACATTTTCAGTGAAATCAATACGAAGACTGGGTTTGACCCGAAGTGGACACCCATTCAATGAGACACTGTTTGTGAACGTATTTCAGACTCCCTTTGCATACACACGGACTCAACAGCGGATTTGTCACATATTCTTCCTCCTCATCAGTGATGGTGTCTTCGCTCGACTGACAGATACGGCACTCAATCGGATCCATTGGTTCAGTATTTGGTGATAGAGTTATGGCTATTGTCGTAGTCCTGAAGATATGAACTTTATATTTGTTTTTTAAAGTTTTATTTTTTTAACTTTAAATTTATTTTCCATACAATTTTCAATTACAATCAGTATTAAATCGAGAGATATATACGAAAACTATTATTTAAAATGTTAATTAAATTATATTTTATAATATAATTATAAAAAATAAAACAAAAATTCTAAACACATCTGCATTTCATTTACTATTATTTTTTAACTTAAAAAAACTCTGTTTTCTGATTGAAATATAAGTTAAATTTGATTTAGTTTTTCATTTAAAATACGTGTTTCTCTCGATATTAAGACAACAAAATTAATTTAAATTAAAAAACACTTTCTCATTGTTTATCATACCGTAAGTAATATTACCGGTATATTAATAATTAAATTAATTGTAATATTTATATATAAATAGCAAAAGAGAGATGAAAACAAACAAATCCATCAAAACAAAGATCTAAATCATTAATTATAATGTGTTTTTCAGATTGTATTAAAAATCGTGTTTTTGTTTACTATAAGTTTGTCGCGTATATTATATATATATATGTATAGATAGAGAGATAATAATAATTATAATTAATATTAATTAAAAAATTACAATTTCGTTACAAACATATCGTGTGTAAAGTGTTTTCTCTACTATTGATAATCATTTACTATTAGTCAATGGGTTGGACAGCAAATTATACTTTAGGCCAATCGCCGGTGCCGTCGAGAATGTCGTCTTCACCGGTTTTGTCGGTAATCGTGTAATCAATGGCAACCTTCGGCTCCTTTGGCTTCATTTTGTGGATCACATCTCCGGCCACTCGATAGTGAATCCGTTCGGTCTTAACCAATACGTTCCGGCGGTCGAACTCGACAAACCTATCGGCCTTAACAATAGGACACGAAACCATCTATCGGTAAAAACAAATAATAATTTGTTATTAATTAGCAGAGAATCGCAAAATAGCTGTTTATTACACACACACTATAATACAGTGAAACATGAACTGTGTGAACCATGAGTTGTGTGAACTAAGCATTTGTATGAACCAAATCTCAAAACATATACTAGTCTCTCATAGACATAATGTTAAAATAGCATGATTTGTGTGAACATGAACTGTGTGAACAAATTGTAGCTAAATTTATGTGGCATTCAATGCATTTCACAATGAGTTGTGTGAACCACACAAAATAGCAAACATATAGCCAAATATAGATGACAGCACTAAATAATTTCGTACCCAAAACGGCTAATAACTTATTAGTAATAAGTTGTTTATATTCAATAAACCATTAAAATAACAGAAAATTACGACAATTACTCTTAAAGCATTCAAAATTAGCAAATTAAACCAACATTTATGTATTAACCACACTTTTAGTTCATAATGATTTGTGTGAACTAATGATTTGTGTGAACTAAATGGCCAAATTTACCAAGTTCATCCAGTTCATGAAATACTGTATAACCTGAGATCATGTATTGTTATAAACGCAAAGTCCAATGAAAGGGAAATCATTATTAGTTACGATCGAGTTGTGTCCACACGTTTGTTCGACATTGGTAATTGTCACGATTATAATCTAGGTGGTTATAATAGTCGAGAACATTGCCTGGCTAAATGTGAGGCGGATACTAATGTAAGGTACTTTAGTAAATTACCATATTCACGAAATATGAATTACAATATTAGCAGCAATAAAATATACATGTATGATGAGAATGTAAATTCTGACACCAATTTTACTATGGTCCAAAATAAATGTATTAGTACATGTGGCCTGAAACAGGATTGTCGTACAGAGTTTATAAAATTAACAACTGTTGCCGGGACAACATACTATAATAACTTTACCAACATCCGTATTAGGATGCCACAAAACCAATTGTTATTTAAGCAAGTACTAAAAATTAATCCACAAGAATTTGCCTGTTTTATAGCCAGTATAGTTAGCCTGTGGTTTGGTTTCTCCATGGTGATGGCAACGGATTTAATTAAAGAGATTATTGTATTTAGCAAGAAAACTTGGGTATTTTACAAAAATGTAAATTTTACTTTTATTGGTGTTAATGGAAAATTATGTATTCAGTTGAAAAGGAGAAAGAATAGAGTAATTAATGTTAAATAATGTTTTCAAGTTATTTATTGATTAATTTTATTATTATAAATATAAAAAGCAAATGGCAAAGAATAAACATCTTTCGTTAAAATTAACTTTTATTAAGGCATTATTTTTCGTGTAATTTTTGGAAAAGAAAATTAATAAAATTAAGTTTTTAAATACAACACAACTCGACTACACTTGATCTCATCGGCAATTCTAGTATACGAGTATTCCCTTAAAAATTCCACATTTCTTA